GCTGGTCTGGAGGTCCCCGGGGTTGCCCTGCTGGGGGGGTGTATGGTGGGGCCTCCTAGACCCTGGGATCCTCTTCCTGGGGGGCGGGGCATGGGCCCTGGGTTCAAATCCCTGCCCAGCCATTTGAGCTGTGTGATCCTGGGCAAGCTATCCCACCTCACCATCTCCTGTAAAAGGCACCGTCGTACTAAAAATATGAAATAATAGAGTGCCTGGCTTTAGTTGAGGGGCTCTTATCTGCTTGTGTGCTGTTGGACCCCCTTTTATATTTATAAATCTAGATTTAAATTCATAAAGTGTACAGGATTAAAAGAAAGCCAGTGGTATTGAACTAGGTTTATTTGGGTATTTAACAGCCAAATGCTTGCTATAGGGACAGCTGTGCTTTTTTGTAATAACGAGATCTGGTGGCAGGTCTAATAACTACAGTCATTTTGACGTTGGGAAGAGGGACCTCTCGAAGGTGAGGCCCGTGCTTGCTGAGTGTCAAAGCCACAGTCCAGCTTCTGCCCTTGCGGTTCATTCCCATGTCTGCCCGTAAGGAAAGGAAATGCTAAATTTCGCTTGGAGGTTAGTGGAAATCTAGATGTACCTTTCTTCCCCAGTCCAAGTTCATGGGTCCCTGCATTGCCCCATGGGCCCCCGGATGTGGTGGTGAGTGACGGCATGTCTCCAGGACAGTCTAGGTGGCCAGGAGCCCAAGTGCATCAGGGAGGGGACACCTCAGGTGTCCTCAAGAAGGCACTAGATGCAGAGTCCCTTGGGTCTGAGTCCAAATTCAGCAGTGACTGCCGGTTCCCAGGCCTCCTCAGCCTTTTACTCTTGGCCTCCAGGAGGGAAGGAGGATGGGGCAAGAAAGCAAGTGTCAGGTGCCTGGCACAGGGGCCGGGGCCCTGGAGAGCAGCTCCTGGGTTTTGGGGGCTGTGGGAGAGGTTGGGGGCCGGAACGGGCTCTCGGAGAGGGGAGCACCCATTCTGTACCCGATGTTCTCTCTGGGACCTGGGCCTGTGTGAGACTCACTATGTCCCCGGGTGGGGTCAGGGGAGTGTGTGTGTGTGTGTGTGTGTGCACGCATGTGCACGTATGTAGTCTAAATGTATGTTTTTGGGGGCACGTTTGAGGAGGGTGCGGGGGGTTGCATGTTGGTGGAGGAATCCAGTGTGATTGGATGGGTGAGTCTGTGTGTATATTTGTAAGTGGGCGTATTTGTGTGTGGGGGGTCCACTCTGGGAGTGGATTGTTGAGTGTGTGTGTGTGAGGGTCTGGTGGGGGGCATTCTGATGGTGGTCTGTTGGGGTTCAGGTTGGGAGTCTTTGGTGCTGGTGTGAGTGTGAGAACATGGGTGTATTTGGGGGCAGATGGAGGGGTGGATTGTGTTTGCACACTCACATCAGGGCCGGTGGGGGTGTCCGATGTGTGTCTGTGTGAGCGTGTGTGGCCCTGTCACCGCCGGCTCCAGGCCTGGCCACATAAACTTCACACCCCTGCGGGCGGGCTCTGTCGGCCCCGCAGTGGCCGCGTCAGGCAATGGGAAGCAGATGGGCCGGGATGGAGGCCATATGGGGCCGGGGGGTGGGGGCGCATTCCTCCCTTCCCCCATCAGGGTGGGGGCTGGAACTGACAGAGTAACAAATGTCCTGCAGCCAGCATGGAGCCTGGGGGCGGGGGGGGGGGGTTGGGGGAAGGCTGCGGAGAGTAGCCCCGCCCCACCAGGGAGTGTGTGTGTGTGTGTGTGTTGAGGGGTGGCCCAGGAGATGCCAGCTAGGTGAGGACGCTCCCCTGAGAAGCCAAAGCTGATCCCCGGGCTGTGCAGCTTTGGGCACTGCACGCACCCTGTGTGCCTCAGTTTCTCCAGCAGGGCCACAACAGGGTGGCTATTTGGGATGGGATCCTGGGAAATTTGGGGCCATTCGACTTCCCATTTCAGGGTAGAGCCTTAACTCCAGAAAGCTGGGCAGACCTAAGCGGTAAGGGCAATAATAATAGGCATGACCGCTAACCTTGACCGTGTGCGGGGCATAGAGAGTGGTTAAGAAGTGGGCTCTGGAACAAGAACGGCCGGGGTTCTGATCCCTGCCCTCCTCCTTCTTGGCTGTGTGGCCTCAGGCAAGTCAGGATTCTCTGTGCTTCCGTTTCTCCTTTGTAAAATTGAGGTAATAAAAACGGCACTTATCTCCTTCCATACGGTCTGGAAGGTGGTGAGTGAATCTGGGCCGCGTGCTCACCACTGTAGCCAGCCCCACGCTGCACTGGCCAGGCTTGGGGCCCCAGAGCCGTGTGGCACAGCCTTTCATTAAGTGCTAGTTTTGAGCCTCAGCCAGTCAGGAAGCTGACCTGGAGCACAGGAACAGATAACAGGGCACGGGCGGAGTGCTCAACAGGCACTCAGTCCTCCCCTCCGGTTAGAATTCGCATCCTTATGGGCCCCTGTAGGGGAATCTCGTGGTGGTTCCTAACCAGCACCCACTCCTCTCCTCTGATCCTCAGCCCAGGGTTTCTGGGTGGAGCCAATGCCATTCTGGGGGGCGGGGATGTGACCCAGCACTGACCAATTAGAGCACTGCCTCTTCTCAGCCAATGGGAGGCTGGCCTGGGATTTTAGCTGGAGCCAGGAGGAATCAAGCACTTTCTTTCTGCGGGGGTTGCTGGTTGGGTGGAAGCCTGGAGGGTGGAGATCATCTGCCTCAATGAGTGTGGAGTTTGACAGAGAGGAGCAGCAAAAATGGACAGAAAGCATGTTCTCATGGTGACGTCTGAATACCTAGATGCAGCCATGCTGGGTACCATTATGGTGGCTGCTTTGTGGCTGAGAAACTGAGGCCAGATTCAGGGTCACACAGCAGGAAGAGGCAGAGCAAGGGTTTGAACCCAGGCCGACTGACACCAGCAGCTCTGCCCTGATCCTCTAGACCCCACAGAGCCCTTTGGTGTAAATCCCTCCCCCTGGGCTAGAGTCCTCTCACTCGGACTAGTGTTTGAACTCAGCTATTTCTGATCATCCCAAGGGAGAATATTTCCTGCCTTGGGCAGAAAAATCAGGAGAGAAATGAGAGCCCTGTGGTCTGGCCCCAAACTCAGTTTGGGCAAGCTTCTGCCAGATGAGAATTTTTCCTTTCTTTCTTTCTTTCTTTCTTTCTTTCTTTCTTTCTTTCTTTCTTTCTTTCTTTCTTTCTCTTTCTTTCCTTCTCTCTTTCTCTCTTTGTCTCTTTCTCTTTCTCTCTTTCTCTCTTTCTTTCTCTCTTTCCTTTCTCTCTTCCTTCTTTTTTTAATGTTTATTTATTTTTGAGAGTGGGGGAGGGGCAGAGAGAGAGGGAGACACAGAATCAGAAGCAGGCTCCAGGCTCTGAGCTGTCAGCACAGAGATCAACACAGGGATCGAACTCACAGACCACAAGATCATGACCTGAGCCTAAGTTGGACGCTTAACCGACTGAGCCACCCAGGTATCCCTTTCTTTCTTTCTTCCCCCCCCTTCCTCCCCTGCCCTCTCCCTCCTTTCTGAAATAAAATCTTGCTTGCCCAGCCCACCTCACCCTTGGGCTGTGCCCTTAACTGTGCCTGGACGACCTCCATCTCGGCCCTGCTCCAGGCCTAGGTGGCTGTGTTAGGCCCAGTGCAGCAACCGTTAGCAACGCTTATTAAAATGCAGACCCCAGGGCCCTGCATGGACACAGGTGTGCTTGCGCCCTGGGGGTGGGGCCGATGGGGGCAACACCCAGCGGAGATTCGGGCACAGGTGACCTATTGGATGCTGCATGAGGGTGTCCTTACAGGGCCTTAAAGACTGAGGTTAAAAGTTGGGCCAGGAGAAGGGCAGAGGCTGGGGGGCTGGACCCCGTGGAGCTGGAATTGACTGAGGACGGGTTCCTGGAGAAGGGGACCACTCAGTCTGTTGGACATTTGTACTCAAGTTCCACCTTCACCAGTTTTTCATGCTGGGCAGGTGTGTCCTAACTTCTCTGAGGCTTGGTTTGCTCAGCTGAGAAGGGGAGATTCAAAAGCACAGCATTCAGTCTGTGTTGGGGGCTGTCAGCACGTACCAGGCTCTGTGCTCGGCCTTCACACGGAGAAACAGGGTGCATCCTCAGGACTCCCTGAGGTGGGTGCTGTTATTACTTTTTTAGAAAGGAAAACCAATGGGCGCCTGGGGGGCTCAGTCGGTTAAGCATCTGACTTTGGCTCAGGTCATGATCTCATGGTTCGTGGGTTCGAGCCCCGCGTTGAGCTCTGTGCCAACAGCTCAGAGCCTGGATTCTGCTTTGGATTCTGTGTCTCCCTGTCGCTTTCTGACCCTCCCCTGCTTGTACTTCAGCTCAGGTGATGATCTCACAGCTCATGAGTTCAAGCCCTGCATCGGGCTCTGTGCTGACAGCTCAGAGGCCTGGAGCTGCTTCAGATCCTGTGTCTCCCTCTCTCTCTGCCCCGCCTGCTCATACTCCGTCTCTCTCAAAAATAAACATTAAAAAAAAAAAAGAAAGAAAAAAGAAAGAAAACCAAGGCTCAGAGCGGTCATGTTCCTCGCCTGAGGTCACACAACCGGTAGGTGGTGGCAGAGCTGGGCCTTGGAGCCTGGCATCTGGCCTTTACCAGAACTATGTAAGGTTTTAGCTTTATTTTATTCAGCACCGCAACCCTGGTGCCCGCTGCATGCTGCTGGTGTATATGTGGAATTGCTCATTCTCCCCGGATGTGGGAGATTCTCAAGCGAGTGCTAATCCTTGTGGTAGAGCCTCGGTCCTCTCTCCGCGCTTCGTGTAACAGTCATACCACGCCCAGGGTGGTTTTGAGCGTTACCTGCGAGAATTCTAGCGCCGTCGCACGTGCTCCGTGGCCATGGGCCAGTTTGATCAACTTCCTTGTCTGGTCACTCTGGTTTCCAGGGGGGATCCTGTGTCCCTCACAGGCCACAAAGGGACAGATACATGAGTCCCTAGCTGTGTGTTGTACTTTTTAAATACTCAGCCTCTGATCTACTCACCCCCGCCCCCAGGAACCAGCGCAAGAGAGGGCCCGGTGCCTGGCCCGGAATAGACCCCCACGGATGTTTGTTGAATGACAGAAGGAAATGCAGAGCCGGCTGCAGGGGCGGAGTGTCTGGCACAAGCCCCGCCCACCACCCACCAGCTGCCAGCTCAGAGCCAAGCCTGGGTTTCCACATCTGCCGGGAATGCTGGGAGGTGGGCTGCCCTGGGGGGAGGCAGTTCCCGGCCGGCTGGCCGGCTGCGGAGCTGGGGATCGTGGGAAGACTGCCAGGGGGAGGCATTTCCTCCGTGAAGCCCTGAAGCCGAGCTGGGGCGGAGCAGCGACTCACTGGGTCCTGGTCCAGCAGAGGCTGGGAGAGCAGGCCCGGGGCCGTGGGACTGGAGCTCTGCCAGCTGCAGCCCTTGGGCGTCAGGCTCTGCCCCAGGATGAGGGGCAGCGTCCAGGAAGTGTCACCGTCGGATTAGTCACATCACCTTTCTGAGCCTCAGTTTCCTCACGGGCACCGCAGAAGGGCGGTTAGTTGCCTGGGCTTGGCGGGGCTGTTCTGAGGTCCCGAGGGGCCACATGTGCCAACCGGGGTGGGTTTTATTATCGTAGGGAGGACAGGAGCCTCCTGGGAATGAGGGCGGCCGCGCGTCGGAGGCAAGATGCCCGGAGGGCCTTGGGTGAGTCACTTCCCTCCGCAGGCCCCGGCGTCCCCCAAGGGCCCCAGACTGAGACAGGCACACGGATGTTCTCAGCGGCAGGTACTTCTGAGCCAGATGTTCAACCACAATGAAGAGATTTGGCAAACACAACAGCAAAATCACCAACAGTAAAAGACCCAGGATGCCCAGTTCAATTTGAATTTGAGATATGCAACAAGGAAGCTTTTAGTGTAAGCATATCCCGTGTAATATCTATTAGTGTAAGTATATTCCATGGCAGGCCCTGTGGGAGGCATTTTGCTCCCACTGCCCCACCCCGTTTCCTTCTCACATAGACCTGAGAGCCTTTGGCAGAGCCCCACTGATGTGGCGACTCTCAGCCTCTACTCAATTCCCAGATGGCCGTTTCGAGAGCCATTCCCAGATGGCCAGGTCCAGCCTGGCAGCGCCCTCGCACCTTCCCGTTGCCCCAGCTGTTACCTGCTGGGGAAGTCCCTGTGGGTCACCAGTGCCAGAGGATGTGGTGACTGGGGAGCTGGGTGGGCAGGACCCCCAAGATGTGTGAGCAGAGGGGAAACCCAGAGGGAGGGAAACAGATGAGCTTCTGGTCGCCAGGGCCAGCGTGGCCTCGTCAACAAGTCCCTCGCAGATATCCTGGGTGTGGCCTGGGCCGAGCCCCCTCTGGGTTCCTGGAGTGAGCCGTCTCCCCATCTGCATGCCCCTTGGGGAAATGTCGGCCCCTTTCTGAGCTGAGCCCCGTCCCCTCTACAAAGAGGCATTCATTCATTCACTCACTCACACATTCACTCATTCATTTACTTGTGCTTTACTCCCACAGATATTTCTTGAGCACCTACTATTTGCCCAGGCATGATTCTTGGCATGGAGCGCGGGGAGATACACCAGAAAACAAGACAAAAAGCCTTGCTCTCATGGAGCTGACGGTTTAGCAGGGGCGACAGATATCAGACATGTCAAGATAATTTCAAGTGGGAAAAGTATTAGGATTGAGATAAAGCAGGGGGTGGTGATGGAACGTGATTTTTTTCGGGGCCCCTAAGGACAGGGCAGTCCAGGAAGGCATCCCTGAAGACGTCGAGGTCGTGGGAGAACAGACCCAAACGGAGTCTGTAGAGAAGCTGGTCGTCTGGGACAGCTATGGGGAAAGTGCTCCAGGCAATAGGATCAGCAAGTGCAAATGCCCTGGGGACAGAGCAAGCTGGACAGTGGGAGAAGGTGTTGGAATTCAGTGAATCAGAGAGAGCCTGGTGGGGCCGAGGGGGCTGTGAGCGAATCATGTAGTGCTGTGTGTGCGGGTCACAGCTGGGGACTCTCTGGGTTCCGTGAGTCACCTCCTGCAAGAAAGCTCCCCCGATGACTCTGACTGAACTAGCCCTGTTTCCATTCTTCTTCCTGCTCATTGCCATGTGGCATCATCGTCTCTGTGCATAAGATGTATTGTCTGTCTTTCTCCATAATTACAACATCAGCTGGCCAGAGTCACCTCCTGCCTGCCATGTGGCATGGAAAATGTGGCCGCAGGGACCCGAGCCTGGGTGCCGTCGACGGATGGCAGGGAAAATAGGTCCTGTGCTTTGTGGATTGTGGTTCTGACTCGATTTCAGCCTCACGAGCCAACTCTGGGACCCAAGCCCTGAGTACGACGAAATTGTCCCGAAATAATGTTAATAATCGTGGCTAACTTTCTTTGGATGCTTGCTGTCTGCCGGGCACTGTGCTAAGCACTTTTTTAAATTATGGTATAACACACACAAAATTCACTGTTTTGAACTGTGCGATTCAGTGGCATTCAGTACATTCACAGTGTTGTGCAACCACCCCACTCTCCAGTTTCCAGAACATTCCCATCACTCCTCAAGGCAGCTCTGTACCATTAGACAGTCACTCCCCGTTCCCCCTCCCTCTGGCCTCTGGAAACCACTAACCTACTTTCTGTCTCTACAGATTTGCCATCTCTGGGTATTTCACGTTAATGGAATCACCCAGCATGTGGCTTTTTGTGTCTGGCTTCTTTCCCGTGCTCTTCCACGTTGCAAGCACGTATCTGCGCTCCAGTCCTTTTTATTGCACAATAATAATCTATTATATGGATATACCACATTTTTTAAATTCATTCATCAGCTGATGGAGATTTGTTTCCACTTCTAGCCTATTATGAATGGTGCTGCTGTGAACATGTATGTGCAAATTTTTCTTTGCATCCTGTTTTCAGTTCTTTCGGATATAGAACAAGGAGTGGAATCGCTAGGTCACATGGTAACTCTATGTTTAATTTATGGAGGAGAAGCCAGCTAAGCACTTTTTCAGGTGTCCACGAGCTTGGCGAATTCTCACCACCAGCTCATTGAAAGGGGCTCTGCATTGCCCCATTCTGCAGATAGGGAAACTGAGGCTCAGAAAGCGGAATTCATGGGGCACTTGGGTGGCTCAGGCAGTTGAGCGTCCAACTTTGGCTCAGGTCATGATCTTGTGGTTCGTGGGTTCGAGCCCCGCGTCGGGTTCTGTGCTGACAACTCAGAGCCTGGAGCCTGTTTCAGATTCTGTGTCTCCCTCTCTCTGCCCCTCCCCTGCTCATGCTGTCTCTCTCTCAGAAATAAATAAAGCACTAAAAAAAGAAAAAGAAAAAGACAGCGGAATTCATGAACCAAGGTCACACCGGTAAGAAGTGATGAACTTGGGTTTGTTGGATTCTGGGCCCCCTTGAGCCCAGGCTGAAATGGGAGAGAGAGGAAGAGTGAGAACAGGGCTGTCTTCCATCCATGTATGGAGGAAGCTGAGGAAAAACGTAAAAGCCAGCCCTTCTCTGTCAGACTTGCTTGGGTTTCAATCCCCCTCGCTCCTTTCTGCCTGCGTGGCTTTTAGGCAAATAGGTTCACCTCTCTGAGCCTCTGTTTCCCCATGAAACAGTGCTAAGGAGAGAAAACCCTTCAAAGGGTAGTTATAAGGATGAATCCTATTGTCATTACAACTGTTTGTTATTATGCTTTTTTGAACACAAGGGGAAGGGGTGTTTCCAGCAGTGAGATCGCGTGCTCTTGGCTTGGGTGGGGCTGGGGGGACGGGCTTGGGGGTGGGGGTGGGGGTGGCAAGAGGGCCCGGAGCCGGAAGGGGTGGCGAGCCGGGCATAGAAGTGGCATCCACCTCAAAGTCCCACGTCCATAACGACACTGAATACTCTGGATGGGAAGCCAGGGCCTAGTTTCCCAGAAATGCTAGGGACGCCACCTCATCAGAAGGGAAAGTAGCCTGGGTCCATTAATTTCCCCAAACCACACTGTATTTTAGGCCAGAAATAATAATAACTATGGCTCGTTAAGTGGACGCCAGAGAATAAAAGTCCAACTTGGACATGTAACTAACGGGAGGGACAGGGTGACTGAGGAGGTTCAGACGAGCTCTCGGTGTGGGCACAGGGTGGGGTGCCCGGCCAGCCTGGCTCCGCTCGGCACAGACCCGGGCTTGCGCTGGCGGAGAACACAGAACGGTTACTGAGCACTTGCTTGCTCTCTGCACCGGTTCACACAGGACACACAACAACACTGGACCGTGTTATAAGGCCCACTATTCAGATGGAGAAACGGAGGCCCAGAGAGGTGAAGACCCTCGCCCAGGACGGAACAGCTAAGAAGTGGCTGAGCTGGCATTTGAACCCAGACAAGTCAGGACCCAGCTGAAGCCCAGACTCTGAACCACCATGAGTGTCCCTCAGGGAAAGCCGGGAAGGTTTTCGTCTCATGTTCTGCACTAAGCGACCTTGTCTGGCTGAGGTCACTGGCTGCCGATGGAGGAAATGGGGAGGGGGGTAAGGGCACCCCAGGAAGCGTCCTGTGTCCCATTTGCTGGGTGTTTTCCTTCCTGGACTCTTGGGTGAAGTTGTTTCTTGGTGAGTGTGTGTGTGGTCGGCGGGGGGGGTGACGTGAGAGAGGGGAGACCCCAGCTCCGAAGTTGGGGGATGCTGGCATCAAGGCCAGGTCAGCAGCACAGGGTCCCTCCTGGGAGGCACACGGGGAAGCATGCGGCCTGCGTGCGCTGGTGAAGGCTCGGCTCCACCCAGCCTGCAGCCTTGGGCTTGCCAACCGGGCACCGCCACGCCTGGCACCGTATCCCCGGGGCGCCGGGTCTGCTGTGTGACTGGGCAAGTGTAACAGCTTCTCTGGACCTCGGTTTCCCCCCTGGCAAGTGGGGCTGATCACCACACACAGCTGGGAGGGTGGCACGGTCGAGGCCGCTGTTCTTACTTCCACTGCTGCTGCCACTAGAAATCCACGTGGAGGGTCTGCCTGCCGAGGGGCGGACGCCCTTGGCCGGAGCCCCGGGAAACGTCAGGTGGGAGGGGCCTCGGTGGTGTCAGCCAAGCCTGGCTCCTGCCGGCCACCCGCCCAGACGCCTGCCCGGATGTGGAGGGAGGGAGGGGGGAGGGAGGCCCCTTGTCTTCCAGACTCCTGAGTCACAGTTTCCCGTTCTGCCAAGCACCAGGCGGGAAAGGGGGGAGGTGGGTGGAGGCAGGGGAGAGGGCAGGAGGGAGGACAGTGGGTGGAGAGCTGAGATCCCACTTGTGGCCGATGTTGGGTGGAACAGACAGAAAATCATCAGCCAGGAGCCAGTCAGATACTAAGGGTGTCTCGGGGAGTCAGGATGGGTCTTTGCACCCCCGGGTCACAGGCAGCAACATCAATCCCCAAAATTTCCGAATTGCCCTCTGCCCTCCGTATACACACATGCTACCCTCAGCTTCGTGATCTTCTTTCTAGTTCTCGAGTTGGTTGATTAGGTTCCAGCCATAGGGCCTTTGCACTTGCACTGAACACTTTGAGGGACTGGCTCTTTTTCAACCTCAGGCTTCAGCTTAAATGTCACCTCCTCAGAGTGGCTCTCCTTGAACACCTGTGCTTTAAAATGTGCTCTTCCGGGGCACCTGAGTAGCTCAGTCAGTTAAGTGTCCGACTTCGGCTCAGGTCATGAGCTCCTGGTTTGTGAGTTCGAGCCCCGCGTCGGGCTCTGTGCTGACAGCTCAGAGCCTAGAGCCTGCTTAGGATTCTGTGTCTCCCTCTCTCTCTGCCCCTCCCCCATTCATGCTCTGTCTCTCTCAAAAATAAGTATTAAAATAAAATGTGCTCTTCCTACCCCCCTTCCCAGTTTATCCAGCTCAACCATTCATTTATCTGCCCCAAATATATTGAGCACCTACTATGGGCCAGACCTTGCTCCGGCCACATGGGATAAAACAGTGACCAGAGCAATCTCCCTGCGCTTGTGTTGCCATCATTATACCAAGGGAGAAAGACAAGCACACTGTAGTACAAGGTGTGGTGGTAAGGGTTGGGGAGGGGGAGAATGAAGCACAGTTGGGGGAGTCAGAATCCCAGAGAGAGTGGTCTTCATGTTGGGTGGGCGTTGAAGGAAGTCTCCAGAAGTGATGCCAAGCAAAGATCTGAAGGCAGTAAAGAGGGGGCCGTGTGAATATTTGGGAAAAGGAGTTTCAGACAGAAGGAACAGTAGGTGCAATGGTCCTGAGGCAGGAATGTGGTCAGAATATTCGAGGAACAGCAAGGAAACGAGTATGGCTCCAGCAGAGTAGGTGAGACAGGATAAGGTCATTGAGGGAAGGGGGTGGGCAGATTGAGCAGCCTCAGTGAGGATTTGACCTTTGTTCCGAGGGGGGGGGAGCCCCGGGGGGGGGGGCCTGAGCAGAATGGCAATGCGGGTGGTGAGACACGGTCAGATTCTAGACAGATTTAAGGGGAGAGCTGACCTATCTCAGTGACGGATTGGGGTGAAGGCCAGCGAGAGACAATGCTCGGGTTGGAATGAAGATCTTCCAACCCTCCAGGCAGGCAGGTGGGGTCCCCTCCCTCACTCCCACCCTGACATGAGGCCCAAGCCCTGGGCCAGGACCCCACCCCACAAATGAATCAAGGCTTCCAAGGTCAGGCTTGAATCTGTGTTGGGTAGGGGGCAGCTCCTCACTAGTCAGCCTTCCCCGTGGAGGGCCTTTGCGGGGGGCACCCTAAGTCGTCTTCTCTTTCTTCACCAGCAGGCCAGCCAGGGCTTGGTCGGGCCTGGGTGGGGGCTGGGTCCTTCCCGGGCCATGCAGGGGGGAGACGTGAAACAGAACCACCAGTGAGGGGAGAGGGCGGCCAGCCCAGCACCCACCGTTCACGCAGACGTAGCGTCTCGCCGTCCTGGCCATGCTCCCTCACCCCCCTCCCGCTCAGGCCCCTGGGACCCTGTGCAGAGCCCCAGCCGGTGACTCAGCAGAAACCATGGCAGACGGGAGCCAGTGCCCCAGCGCCCGGACCAGAAACCACCCCTGACCCGTCCAGCTGGACGGGAACAGAGAGCAAGTAGGTGGAAAAGCCCTCAGACTAGGAGAGCTGGAGGGAGGTGGCGTGGGAAGCCCTGCCCCCCCACCCCGCCATCCACACGTAGCCCTCAGCCGGCTGCCCCTTCTGGCACACCTGCGGGTCTGGATCCAGGAGGGGGCTCTTGGCTGTTCCGCCCGGTCTTGGGGCTCATCCTGGCCTTGCTGGGTCGTGTTGGGTCGCCAGGGTGTATCATGTGCCGCCCACCGCATTGTTCCTGTTGTATCCTGCATCCTGTTCTAGAGCCTTCCATTCCTTTTCATTCTATTGTGTTTCTTTGTGTATTCGTTCAACAGGCATTTATTGAGAATCTACTATCTGCTGGGCTGTGTTCTAGGTGCTGGAGTTACGACTTGGCAGAAAGCGAGTTCCGCGCCCCAGGGAATTCACAGGGAGCCTGGTAACAAATAAGAGAACACCGGGTAGTGGTGCAAGTCACGGAGAAGACGCGTGGCCGAAGACCATAGAACAGAGCTGCACGGGGAGGGCTGGGCAGCTTTCAGCGCTGGGGTGGAGTGGGGTCAGGAATGGCCTCACTGCGAAGGTGACATCTGCGCAGAGACAGAAAGCAAGAGTTTTTCCCTCTGGGGAAGGAAATAACACCCGTCCTAACACTAGCAATAAGCAGCAAGAGCCTGTCCCTTTCCTGAGCCTTTACAGGACTAGCTGGTTCCTCCCTGACACAGCCTTTATGGTCCCCATTGCACAGATGGGGAAATGGGGCTGTGCAGCTACCTGAGGGTCAGGAATACCATTCCAGGTGGAGGGAACAGCAAGTGCAAAGGCCCTGAGGCAGGAATGTGGCTGACATGTTCAAAGAACAGCCAAGAGGCCAGGGTGGCTGGAGCAGATGTCAAGGGGGACAAGGGGCTGGAGGACAGGTCTGCAGTGCATTTTGAGCTACTTAATGATTTCCGAGAATATTTGGGCCTTTGCACCGCATAGAACAGCAAACCCCCCACCTGAAATGAATCTGCAAGCATTTTGGTCCAGGCCTTCCCTGTTCAGGGCTTGATCTTGCCAAATGGGCTTCTCACTGCCTTCA